GCCTGCGCCTATCCCCGTGGTGCTGAAAGTTTGACGAGAGGAAAAAATGAATATAAATATGGGGAATACAAATAGAATTGAAAACATAAATAGAAAATATATGACAAAGTATAAACTTAATTTTTTAATTTAAAGTTAGTTTAGAGTAGAATGCGCTTCTCTCCTATTCGATATTATCCTATTCGGTTAGGATCACTGTCTGGATGAAACTCACAAGGGGATAGAAAGTATTTTTTGCTGCACTGAAGTGGTGCTATGTACTTCTTTTATCATAAAAAATCTTAATAGTCTTATATATATATATATATAGAAAATTTTTTTAATGCGAAAATGTAGAGCGCAATGGTTCGATAAATTCTCACATAAGACCTTAATTAAGGACGTATCAGATATATAGTTTCTATAAAAAATTACTGTGATTAGACGTTTTCTGTATAAAAATAAATATTACATATACAGGATGTCTCACAACTACTACATTTCCTTTTAAGGACATATGCCTGAGGTAATTTTGAGACGAAAATCCTAATACGAAAATATCGAGACTATAATAGTTTTCGAATTACACACTATCTTTAACCAATTATAAGTCAAAAACTATTGTAGCCTCGATATTTTTATATTAGGATTTTCGTCTCAAAATTACCTCAAGAATACGTTCTTGAGAGGAAATGCGGTAGTTGTGAGACACTCTTGTGTGTATAACAATTTTATAATTTAAATGAAAATTTTCTGTTTTTATCTTAATTATTTTTTTAAAAACATCTATTTCTTATTGAAATAATTTTTTATCCACAGGTTCTAAATCGCTATTGAACTTTGTTGTATGTATTACATTCAAGGTACAATATAGAAAAATTTATGAAAACATTTTTTCATAATTTTTTCATTTTGTTAAAAAATACGTGTAGCTAAAAAAATACGTGAACTTTCTAGAATGGGATAAAGCTGTCCTCTATCCACTTCTAAAGTACGACATAGTTTTTGTTTCAAAATAAGAAACTATTAATTTCTTTTCTTTAATTCGTAATTTCTTAAATTAACGGCAATAGCACAATTGACGCGCACTGATACACGTAGACGTAGAAACATCTCAATCGTCACGCCGGAAACGATCCTTAACTCGTCCGCGAATTAACGCTATTTCAAGCACTGGCACGATTATCGCCAAAAGGACGTCGCAATTTCGCGCGATTCCAACTACCGGCGTATCAGTGCAGTGTAGCGAAAGCGAGAGACAGACAAGCAGCCTCGAATGAAGTGCAAGAGGAAGACGGAAACCGAGAACGGATGGAGTAGAGGGAGAAAGATAGATAGACAGAGAGAGAGAGGGAGAGAGGAGCCGCAGCCTCACAAGCGCTAATCCGATTAGCACGCGTGATGTTCCGCATCCTCCGAGAGGAGCGGAGGCTGCTTTGAGGCGCTGATGATTATCTCAAATATTAATCGCAAATATTGTTTAATTAATGTAACGAGCTCGAGTCGGTACTCGAGTCGGAGCCTGAGATCGGGAGCGAGAGAAGGAGGAAAGGATGGTAGAGAACGCGTGGGGGTGGGTAGGAGTTAGGGCAGACAGCCCACGGCATTTAGGTCGTTAGTGGGGTGGGCGGCGAGAGTAGGAAAGACGCAGTTCGTCGGCAGGCCAGAGTAACGGATTTCAGGTGGTTGCCCGGGGGAGGGGGTTGTATCGGGCTTAAGGGAGAAAAGGGCGGGTAGGGGTGGCAAACCGCGGCGACGCGCGGAGGGCGACGGAGACGGCGACGGTGGTGGCGGCGAGAGGAAGAGCCGAACCGCGGTAAGCGCGATAATTAGCGGCAATTAGCCGCGTAGTCTACCGTGCACCTTGCTCTACGTGCGCGCTCGTTTACTTGCCGCGCACACACATGCAAATGCATACCTACGTGCACCCTGGTACTGCTCGCGTGATGGACGAAGCGCGACTTAGTACATCCCCCTATCTTATCGACGCGTTTGCTAGGCACTGAGTTACGATGTCGAGTTACGGTGTATGGAAGGGAGACGGCTGGAATGACGCAGATTATCTCGCAAACATGACTACCATCTGCTCGCGCCTTTGGATAAAAAAAATTGTTGCAAAGGAAAAAAAGGAATGCTATGTGTAATAATTTCAGTAATAGTTTGCGACGAAATAAAATTTGTGGATAATTAATGTTGTGTCAACTGTATCTTCCTTTATAAAATTAAATCTTGATTTAATTAATTACTCGTTTGGATTTTAAATTTTATTATTCGATTAATACAAAAACAAATTATATATGCAGAAAGTACTAAAAGTATTCGTACAGGTGGACATCTTTTTTAGAAACTTTATTTTTAGTAAGTAAACATTAATTAGTAATTTGTTAACAAAGAATAAAATAGATTATATATTTCTCAAAGTTATTTTATCTAAAATGATGTACAATAATAGAAATATATTGTATATATATTATACTATCTTAATAATAAGTGAAAATAAAAAGTTGTATTATTTGGACGCACAAAAAATATTTGTTTAAAAGTTTGTCTTCTAAGATCATAAATAATAGTTATTTTCGCGAAGGTTTTTTGTTTATATTAGGAAACGTACTTATTGTTAATAAATTGCTAATTAATGTTCATTTTCTACAAATAGGGCTTCTTAAATAAAAATCTTCCTTATATACGAATACTTTTGTATTTATTATATATTGCAAATTTTTTAAAATTCTCTCTCTCTCTTTCTCTCTTTTACTCTTCTAAAAAAAATAAAAAGTAAAAAATAAAAATTAGCTTTGTAGCTCATAATTTAAAATATTTTTTTCTATCTCGTATCTTTTACTTTTGTCCGCCTTTTTCGTCCGTACGAATTTTCAGCCTGTTAGTCAGTCGAATATATACGTGTGATCACTTTAGTTATTTTATTTAATATTTATGTGCTCCATTTTACTTAGGTATATCTAGTTTTTATCCTATAATCGCTTCTAGATAAGTAATGACGTCGATAACTACGATATTACCTAGACGAGGTCGCGTTTCCCGCGTAATAAGACTCCATTAAAATCTTTATTTAAAATTCAATAACATTAAACGCTCTCAGCTCCACCGGTAGTGAATATAGCGTAGAGTTAAAACGAGTAATAAAAGTGACAGGAAACGATTCTGAGCTGCATATATTATTAGATATGATATTCTTAATACACACTGCGATTAACAATTTTTTAAATACACATTTCAATCAATAAGGTACCCCCCTCCCCCAAAAATAAAAAATCGTCATAACATCAAAATGGCGTAAAAAAGGCTTCAAAATGATTATTAAAAGTCACTTTTAATAATCTTATTAGTTACGATTTATTATAATGTTATTTTGACGTTATTATGATCTGTTATTCTGCTTGAGTGGCAAACTGTTTTAAATCATAATACTCACGCTATACCGATTGTATAATTGTGATTGGTGATTAATGATTACTTTACAACCAGTTAGAGCAAAGCAATCGATGACTGATCGAAAAGTGCTTGCCAATCGCTAATCACAATCGCGCAATCGTTAGGGTAACTACATTTATAGTTCCTTTACCATTTTAGCTGATAATGAGTTGATCTTTCTATGCGGAAGCTTGCGTTTTATTAATCGAAGTAGAACATAGGCGCAATTTCCAAGATAAAGTACCTGCTTTTCATTGAGCTAACAAGAGTAACGCATAATCAATTCTTACGCAACCTTCCAAGAGAATTGCGAGACAAAAGAGCGATCTAGCGACGAGACACAATGTCTTTGCGACGTGGATCCGCCCCTATACAGCACGAAGTCAGTCGCTCTTACGGTAGCTAGGTAGAGCCAAGGTAAGAAGGAACGCAGAGCTTACACCCTCCCTCCCCTCCGCCTCCCCTCCCATCCACCTCTCCTCTCCATCCGCGACCCCCGGCAGGAGCTTCGCCGTTCCTCTGAATAAATGATAGGGATATATTTACGGCGAGCGGTTTTAAATAAATTACAACTGCGGGGACGGCGAAGGAGTATCTTCCTGCCGTTTCTTCTTTACCTTTTCCCTCGACCCTGGTACCAGGCCCATCAGGTCCCCCCCTCCTTGACCCCCTCGGCCGCCTCCAATCCACCAGCGCTACCTCTCCGTCGTCTTGTCGACATCTAACGCGCACCCTCCTCTCGCGAGCATTACGTCTACCACGCGTGTCTGCCACGCGTGTTTTTCGGCATTTTTTGTTCCCGACCTCCACGTCGATCCGCAGAGAGCCCCACTGTCGTCGTCTCGGGGATTATAAACGAATGTGCTCCGTCCCCGCGGAAAGAGAGGATCGCGAGCGGGATAAATCGCCCCTTTCCGATTCTTCGGACGTACTCCGGTTCCCCTTGTACCTACATACGGCCGATGAAACGCGTCTCTCGTAGAAATATTTTATGCGGTACAAATATTTTTCTAGATTTTCCGTGCACACATACGTGAACTCTCTTCTATGATATCTCAAACATTGATAACGTAAATAGATATTTACATAAACAAGTATTTTTGTAGAATATAATAAGAAGTATCAAAATACATTTTTTATTATGAAAAATTATTTATTTAAATTATTATTTATGACATTTATTAGAATGTGTATTAAATTATGCAAAAATTCGCAGATGAAAGAAACATATAATGATTATATCCTTCGAAAACGCGCAACATATTTACAGCCTTGGCCATAAGTATAAGGCATGCTCAATTTATTGCGTTTTCTTGGACAAAGTGTTAATAAAATCCAAAGGAAAACTGACAAAATTTTAAAATTGTTATAAAAATAAATATGATTTTTCAAAACTGTTCTTTAATTTATTTTTCGTCGGATATAAAACGTTTACGACAATTTGTCCTGTACTCTAATGTGACTAACAATCTGCATATTCGTAAAAATCAATAATTTCTAAACGTTTTAATCTACAATACTTGTTCGTAACTATGTATATGAAATCACCGCGAGAAATTGTCGCCAGTTATTTAGTCTTTTTATCCGTCGCAAACTCTTTAGCAGCGTCATGTCGACGCTTCTTTCTGTCGACATACGAGTCGTAAACGGCAAGACGCCATTTAGTTTCACGAGACAAAAGTCCATGAGCGAAAAGTGGTGCGCATTGCTTTGTCGCTGGCTCCCGTGGAAGCTGCAGTTTAACGAGGCGACGATTATCGCGATTATACGAGTGGCTATGACGGCGACGCGCGGAAGAGGCGAGGGAGGGGGAGAGTTACCGAGTGAAGAAGCGGCTTAACCGGCGGGCGTCGGGGCCAGCGATGCCGTCACGAAGAGTGGTTTAATGGCGCGTATCGAGCATCCGGCCGGCGGTGTTCAGCGGCGCTTGCACCCACTTACTCGTTGAAATCGTCCAGAGAGTTTATAAGGGGTTGGGAGAAACCTAGACGGGGGGAGCAGAGAGGGGGAAAACTCAGGAAGGAGGAAGATATTTCCTAAAGACGTAAATACAAACGAAGCTAAGAGCTCACCTCTCAGCGGGTGGTCCGAGGCCCCCCACGGTGCTCGGTGGCGGCGGCGGCGCTCTTATGGGGGTCGGCGGTGGCGTCGAGACGCCACCTAGAGACGGCTGACTCGGCTGGGGCCGGGGACTGACCGAGGCGGAAGTCGTACTGGGGCTCCTGGAGCCACCGCCGCCTCCACCGCCCCCGGCACCTTCCGCCACGGCGTCCTCCGTGTCGGCGGCGCTGCTGCTCGTCGTGGTGCCCTCCGGGTCATTTCCCGTGGGACTCGGGCCCGCCGATGAAGACGTTGGTGCGGCCAAAGCGGAGGATTCCACGTTACCGCCACCGCCGCTACCACCGCCGCCGCTGCCGCCACCACCGCTGTTTCCACCCTCGCGTTTGCGTTGCTCCTCCTTCAGTCGTTCGCTCTTACGCCATTTCGCCCGCCGATTTTGGAACCACACCTGCAAATTACGATCGTCGCGGTTAACATAGATTAATGTTATACGCTTAAGCTTTGGAAAATCAATAATAGGAAGCGTAACTTTGATATAGAAGTTACTGTTTTATAAGTAAAGTTACGAAATTTAATTTTTTTTAATGGATCGAGGAACTCTTCTTGCGTGAAAAAAAAAATATATATATATATATTGCTGATACTTAATTCGCTGATTTCCAACTCATTATTAGTTGATACGTAAATGTTATAAAAATGTTTTTAAATATCTGTATTAACACTTAATATCTCCTAACAATTTATGTTCCACGTTTTTATTTATTGTGCCTTTAATGTTTTATGTCTTTTTCATAATACAATTTTTGGATTATGCTAAATATGAATAAATATCATATAGCGATATACCTGCATCCAGGGAAGTTAAACTTCTCAAAAGCCAACTTCGCGGAAGTTTGCATAATTCTCTGATTCAATATTCTCGACATCTCAGTCATCTGACTATACATTACACGCGCGCGGACGAGAGGGTTAAGTCTCGCGAAAGTCATAGAATGGGAGAGGTGGATGGATAGGAGAAAAATGAGGAGGACGCGGTCGTATCTATGGCACTCCGCAATGTCCGCAAATGTGCAAGGATAATTGCATGTGCGGGTAGGGGGTGGGAGGGTGGAGGTGGCATTCTGAGGCAGAGAAAAGCACGAGGGTGCGGCAGGCTGGTTGGCGGATGTTGAGGCAGGGATGGTTGGGAGACTGGGGGGAGGGGGGTACTTTCCGCCGTGCATGTTCAACGAGCCGACAGCAACCACGGCGACCGAGTGTTTTTTAAAAAGCTCGAGTTCCGCTAACGAGGCTAACTTGACATAATACCGGCTGAAATAGACTTTATTACACCCAGCGGTTCTCCACCGTTGACTTTTGTCTCGACAATGAATGTACAATAACCGGGTTTTCGTGCGGAATCCTCACTCGGTGCACATACACGCCAACTAATAGTAAAACTCGGGATGTTTACTACCTAGGGAAACCTGAAATTTTCAGGGGATTTCTCTTTTACCCTTGAAAATCAAGAATTTTCATGGAATTTTATCGCCATTCAAAAAATTTTTGAAATTTTACTTTTAAATTTAAATTTCATCTCTTTTTGAAAACATTATTTCTTTCATAATTTTTTCTTAATGATTCAAAATTGACAATCTCATTAGCAATAAATATGACTTACACATGCGCATATGTTTACGTATATTTTCATAGGTCTCACGAATTTTTATAAAAAGATCGGGATGATAAAACAATACATACGCGCGCGCACACTCAGAAAAGATATAGTGATGGCAACTATGTATAAAGATGATGCAATTATACAAGTTTTATTTGTAGAAGTAATGTACATACTTGAATAAACTATTTTAGACTTGTAAACTAATTATAAAAAAATAGTTTATTCAACTATGTACATTAATTGTACATATAAAACTTGCATAATTGCCTCCTTTATAGTTGCTGTCGTTATGTCTTTTTCTCTGGCAATAAGTATAGCCATAAGAGAATAATCTACTGATACTGTAGTGAGTTTTCTTTATACATTATCTTATAAGTTTAGCAGCTCTATAATTGTAAAAAAGGATAGATAATTTCGTGAAAAAATCCCTGTCTTCTACTTTACAATGTATAGTTTACTTGCACGTTACACTCCAATTGATTTCAAAATTGCATTAAGAAAGTCTCTAATTTGAAATTTTTAATAGAAATAACTAGAAAATTCGAGAAAATTGTTTTACAAGGTTTCAGTAAACACCCTGTAAAACGTAATCAGAGCTATTTGTTTGTAGAACGTGAAGTTGATTAGAAAAAGTCATAAAGAACATCCGATGCATCATTTATAATATGGTGCTATATCACTTTATAGATATTGCATTGAAAAATGTATTAGCATAAATTTCGTCGGATTTGCTTGATTTTGAGAAAAAAACTTTTTTTGAAAAGAAAATATTGTACGTAAATATATATATATATAAGGATTATTAAAAAATATTAAAATGGTTAGATTATCAAAATAAATATTATTTTTTCAATGAAAGTGTTTTTTAATTAATTTTTGTAATAAAACGTTTACGTTAATTTGTGTTTTATATTTATTGCCAAGACTGTATTAAATTGTGAAAAAAGAACAGACTTCACAAAAAAAATTTCACAAAAAGTCCTTAGTAAAAAGAGCTGGAATTAATAGGATTGGTATATCCTATTCTGTGTAATATTATGGGTCTGGAAAATGATTATCTTACATTCGAGCGCGGAACTTTCGCAGGAGGAAGCACGGAAAATGGTTTAATAAAATAAATACGATGGGTACGACTCTCTACCGCCACCTCGAACATCGCGAGAGGATGGAGGAGGGGCGACAGACGGGGAGATATAATAATATCCTAAGGGTTACAAGAGGGGGTGGCGGAGGACGAGTAATAGCTGGGAACAAAGCCATGGTCTCGTATAGGGACCACCACCGCCGTTTTCCTTTACACCCTTGCGCGATATATCTCTCTTCTCTCCACTTTTTTTTCCAATACAAATTTAATCTGAAATTCGTTGATAATGGGCGTAAAACGTTTTTAATCGGCTGCACCCCCTTGTTAAACGAATGTGTCGCTCTTTGTCGCGGGATTACTGATCGCACGTATCACGTGTGACATGCTTTTTAAAACGCTGCGTGACAACGATAACTACTGATTAATTCACGAAAAGCTGTTTTTTCCAACAGCCCGTAAATTGAAAAATGTCCACTTTCAATAAATCCACGTTTATAGAAATTTTCCGCTCGTTTCTCAATTTCCAACCCAATTTGTGGATTCAAATATTTTTGTCAAAACCATCGCGGAGATAGAGATACTAATATTTTATACCGACGAGCTACTTTTCTCGAGATTCGCGGTACCGTAAAAAATTTTCTGCATTTTTTACAATTCCAAAGGAGCGCGGACAACTACGTGAAGAGAAGAGAAGAGCTCCGCGAAATCCAATCACCGAAAATAGGAGAGAGTCAACGTAATCGCGGTGTCCAGCGTCCATGCACGGTCCAGAGCGCGTCGCACGAGCGCAGGTGCGAGTGCCGTTTGATGCGGCGCGGGCGCGACGCGTCTAATTCACGCACGCCGGTAATTGCCGGCCTCGCACATACACGCACGTCCATATATATGTAACGACCGTACGTACACGTGCAAGTGTAGTGTGCGAGGAAATGTACACCCGCTCGCCGCGCCGCGCCGCATCGTGAGGATGTCGTACGGTACGTGCCTCGACGATACAACCGACCCTCCTTCAACTCCCACCCGCCCGTTCCTCCTCTAGGAGGTTAGGTTCTAATTGGAGCCTGGAGAAGAGGACGGGCGCTACATAAACGCGCCTATTTGTCCATTATTCCAGATTCCCTTTGTCTTCGCTAATGAAACAATGAGTCTGCGCCGTAATTGCGTCACAGCCAGACCAACAGCCTCGCCCCTCCGTTCTTCGCCGCCTCGCGCCACCCCTCTGTCTCTTTCATTGTCATGTGTACACTGTCGTATCTCTCTCGTAAAGATTGCAGCCTCCTTGTAAATTTGCACAATGCACGCCAGGCTGCCTCTTAGACTTTGTGATCGAGGATCCTTCGTGAGTCAGGATATTAATGATGAGAGGCCGGGCGAAGCGCCAAGATTTTTTCGGATTTGTCGGGGCACGCGAGCTATATTTTACTATAATAATTATTTTTTAAATACTGATTATTTATAAATTTTATAATAAATTTTTTTCGACTAAGACGCAAAATAAAATAAATAAAATTTTATTCGTTTTATATCAATTAAATTGTAATATATCACGTTTACAGTAGATTACGGCAGAACTTAAGTGTGAACTATTTAGTGCTGTGGCGACTCGCCACTAGAGGTCCATGGGACTCACTCGGTTCGCGTAAGCACCGCGCCGCGCGAATTCCCTTTAAATAGAATATCATTCTGGATTCATTTCAGGCGTCTAAGGTAAGTCCCACACTACATCGCCTTATTGATGAGTCTAGTAGCATGGAACCAGGACGAAACGCTGCGGCCGACCACAAAGCTTCGAGTCAGGCCTCCTTAGTGGACATTTCTATATTGGTGACCCCGACGTAATTTGAACACGCACACGCTTGCACACGCTCACACACACTCGCCATACGCTCACACATAGCGGTACCGAGCAGCATCGAGCAGCACACAGAGCAGCATAGAGCAGCACAAGCAGCATCAAGCATCACCACGTTCGTCCCTGATATTTATCATTCCAACGCAATCCGTTGGATCGCGCCCTCATTGGGGTGGAGTCCTGTGGCGACTCGCCACTAGAGGTCCACGGGACTCATTCGATTCGCGTAAGCACTGCGCCGCGCGAATTCCCTAATAGAATATCATTCTGGATTCATTTCAGGCGTCTAAGGTAAGTCCCACACTACATCGCCTTATTGATGAGTCTAGTAGTGTAGAGCCAGGACAAAACGCTGCGGCCGACCACAAAGCTTCGAGTCAGGCCTCCTTAGTGGACATTTCCACAGTGCTATTATTTCTGTGTACATTTTTTAAATGTTTACAGATTGCTGAAGGAATGGTCAGTATGATTGATAAATTAGAAAAAAGTCGCGATTAGTGAGATTTTTTCAATGGAATAAAATACCTTTAAATAAAAGGAAAAATAAAGAATCATGTAGGTTATATGTTAAAAATAGAATTTGTTAACGTTAAATATGTTAACGTTAAAAATAGAATTTTTAACGTTAAACATTGTATTAAAAAATCTTCAAAAATAATTTTATGAGTTCTAACTGAGTTTCATGTATAAAAGACGTTTTAATCTTTTTCCAGGAAACTTGTATTATTAACATCATATAATACACTATCATTTTAGCTACAAATACTTTAGCTACAATTTATCAAACACTAAAAAAAAATAACAAATAGTAATTGATTATTTTTAAAAATATTGCGTGAAATAATCATAGTAGTAAATTGATTTAATAATGCTATGAGTATAAGAGTCTTACACGGAAAGAACAGTTTTGCTCAAGTACTTAAAAATTTAGCTATTATAGATTTGAAAGTAATTTTATTAGATTACTAAAATAATTATATAGGACGCTCAAGTTAGTTAGAACTTTTTGCAGCGTTGCTCATTATGCTTCGATTTCCTAATTATTTTGATGATTCAACAAGAATTATTTTCAAATCTCTCTCTCTCTCTCTCTACGTCTATACTCAAATTAGATATTTAGCCAAATAGATATTTCAGTAAAATCGTTTTTTTTCCGTGCGATTATCGAGGTATGTTTGACTTGGAAATTGCGAAAGGCGCTGTCAAAACGTATCATCTGAAATTCGATGGAGATGCAGGTTGGCGTCTGCCGAGAAATCAAAAGCCGCCATTGGTAATCAGATATCCTCTGCAGATGTTCCGACAGGATTTTAGGCTGGAATCGCTGTTACGCTGCAGGGATTCTCAGCGCGAATTACAACGGCGTGAGTAAATATGGCCGTGAGGACGTAGCCTGCAGGAGTACAAAGTAATCCCGGAGATTACCGGCTTACTCTGTCAGAAGATTACGTCAGGTCGAGGGTGTCAGCGCGCCTCTTGGGGGTCCTGCAGGGCCCCCCGCCCTCCCACCCTGCCGGATTCGCCCCTCTGGTACATACGCTTTTGCTCTTGTGGCAACACCGTACGGCCACAGACAATCGATCATAGTTACGGTCTTTTACAGATTTTCTTTTTAATTTTCAAATCTGCAGTTATTGAATCTAAAATATATTTTCATCCTGACTAAATTTCGCGCGTTCCCCATCTGTGTCGCGTATATATCATATATACGCATACATCATACATAAAATATATGGCATGTTATTTTTCGTACGATAAATTATAAATATGGCAATTTTTTTAAATCCGGGAGTGGCAAAGGACAAAAATCGATTAAAAAAAAAAATTGTCGAAATTCCGCTTTGGATTGCAGAAATCCGGTTTACGCATATTTTTTCGCGATATAATCATTTGGATACTAATGGATACGTAGGCGGGTAATACATTCTATTGTGTGTTCCATGAAATATTACAGCGAAAACATGCAGCGCGAAAAATGTTCTCGGAATTTCTCTACTTAACGCTACGAAGGCAGACAAAAAATTATCGGGTTGCCGCGCGTAATTTTCTCATCGCATTAAAACGCGGAATCCAATCTCAATGCGCTGAGACGCATTAAAAGATTAAGCTCGCTGCTGCCAATGCTCGGACGCGAGCATGCGAACATTCTGTGAAGTTTTAATGCACGTGCTTTCATGTTATCGAATAAACGTGATTATACAACGTGATTAGCATACTTTCAAGTAACCTGTTTTAATATATCCTTAAATATAATGCACACAGTGCTTCTGCCATGAATTTGTTCATTTCCCTTATTCTAATGGATCTTTTTTGTAATTTAATCGGATTACGGACATTATTATATTATATGCGGCAAGATACTTTACGAGAACTGACAAAATAAAATTGAATAAAAAGTAAATAATTATGTTAATAATAATTCAACGACACACACGGCTGCTTTTAGTAGACTTGAAACATCATAATCTGAAAAAAGTCTAATCAGGTTGTAGGATTGCGAAATTTAAGGGATATACCGTTTGCGTTATCTTTATACTAATTCTTTCCGTTGATAATAATTTAAAGTAAAAACAAGTTAAAAGAAAGAGCCAGAAATTTTACGTATAAACAAATTGGTAGATAAGTAAAAAGGTCTTAATAAATTATTATGAACTTTAATAACATGCCGGCTAACAAACGTTTCGATCACGATTGGATCATTATCAATACTTACAAAATATAAAAAACGTACCAATAGATGGCCCACCCTGTAGGATTGCGAAATTTAAGGGATATACCGTTTGCGTTATCTTTATACTAATTCTTTCCGTTGATAATAATTTAAAGTAAAAACAAGTTAAAAGAAAGAGCCAGAAATTTTACGTATAAACAAATTGGTAGATAAGTAAAAAGGTCTTAATAAATTATTATGAACTTTAATAACATGCCGGCTAACAAACGTTTCGATCACGATTGGATCATTATCAATACTTACAAAATATGTATGTCTAAACGGTAAGAAACGTAACATAAAGTCAACAATTATATAGTTATACAATGCGAAGTATATTTTAAATTTCTTCGATCGACTTTATGTTATGTTTCTTATCGTTTAGACATATTTGGTAAGTATTGATAATGATCCAATCGTGATCGAAACGTTTGTTAGCCGGCATGTTATTGAAATTCATAATAATTCATTAAGATCTTTTTATCTACCAATTTGTTTATACGTAAAATTTCTGGCTGGTAGCCCTTTTTCTTTTAACTTGTTTTTAAATTATTGAGCCATTATACTATTATATAGATTTAAAGTAAGTTACAGTTCAAAATATACACGAATTTTGAACATTGTTTTTTGCGAAGGATATAATCAGTTATTAAATTATTATATGAAAAGATTTACGTACTAATTAACTTTCTGGCTTTCATTATTCCGTTTTTATTTAAAACATTGGTAATCCTTATACTTATCTTATTTATCGTTAAGAAATGTAATTATATATAAGGACAAGTGGATTAGGATTGAAAAATTCGATTTTGATGAAAAGAAAGATCTCCGCGATTGTTATTGTTACACTCACCTGCACTCTAGCTTCCGTGAGATTAATTTTCATGGCCAGATCTTCCCTCGTAAAGACGTCCGGGTAGTGAGTTTGCGCAAAGGCGGACTCGAGTTCCTCCAGTTGCTGAAGGGTGAAAGTTGTCCTGTTTCGACGCTGTTTCCTCCGCACGAAGGAATCCTCGCCAACTCCGTGCAGCGCTGGGTGATAGGCGGAGTAACTAGTATCTGTAACGAGCAATCCGGGAGGAATTGTTAAGTGTTTTTAGAATATCGCTCTTTTACAGTAATTCTTAATATAATGATAATTCGCGCAAATTTTATTTTCTGCAACTTTAAATGCAAAGAACACTATTATCGATAACACAAGTAATAATAACGAATCGAATAATAATAAATAAATGATGTAATATAATAATAGGTAAAAATATTCAATTGAATATAAAAAAATATATTAATTTTTATTAGTTTAATTATATAATACGTTTTTGTAATTAATATTGATAATATATGTTGTGTCAATAAAGAAAATATTTTTCTTTTAAAGGGACGAGTTCGACAAAGTTTCACCTTTTAATTCTTGATAGATTCGAATTTGCAAAGTTCCAGGAGAACTTAGTTCGGTACTCCGCATATTTGCCTGTGCTTGACTAGGGTTTGCGAAACTCGGAAACTTCAAGAAACTTGTGAGTTACTGACAATCTCGCGGAATTTTCAAATTTATACGGCAAGCGTTATTGCAAAATAAAATGATCAACATAATTCCTTGCTTTTTCACGGTAGTTTACATTAGTGCTTATCAGTGTGAATAAGTTGTATCAGATTTTATACAAAATAAGAGTCGTCCGTAGTAAACATAGACGCATACTCATTCATATTCGTTTACTTAATTCAATTTAATTTAATTTAATTTAGCAAGTGTAATAATTAACTTCTTCGTATCAAGAAGTATATCTTCTCTATTATGATTTTCTATCTTTTGGAATTAATAGTATCATTTTCTACGAATTCAAGACTGGGAAGTTCCAAATAAACTTGAAAATTCAGATAAAAAATCCGGGGTAAAAATATATAGGGCGGTCTTTACCATCATATTCAGATAGTCACATCTATTTTCATCTAAACAATTTTTCTCATTTTGTAAACTGTCTTAATCATTTCAAACATGTTTTATGTTAAACATAAATTTTAATAAATCATTGATTGTTACATCATTGATTTGAATATAACTAAAAAATAAAAAATTACACAAAAAATAAAATAAAGTCCCACATTTTGTCATGTTACCCTCAATATATTCAAATACTTCAATAAAAAAGTTTACAAATATTATCATTGATACTCGATCCATTATTTCAACAACAACTGATTATTATTAATATATAATTATATTATTTTTCTGTTGTATTTCGGTACGATAGCAGCATGCACATTTTATTTCGCCACTGCAATTATACGAGCAGACAGAGCATGTTAATTAAAAATGTTGAGTAAAACGTAGTTTGTGATCGCGCGCGTACACGAAGGATCGAAAAGTGAAGCGCCGATATAAAGGCATCGGTCGGATACGCGCGCATACAACGAGACGCGAAGTGGGAGCAGACGTTGCGAAGCGGCCGGAACCGCTCATCAATGATGCAGAGCAATCAGCGCAATTAATTACCGCGGCGCTAAGCCGGGGCTTAGCGAAAAACACAAATTAATTTCCTAAGCTCATAAAAATTCATGCCACTCTCTCTCCGCCGTCCGGCCGTCTCTCTTTCACTCGCACACAATGTCTCCTCTTCTTCCTCTCTTTTACTCTCTTCCCTTTATACCGCCTCTCTTTCTCTTTCGTTCTTTCTCTCCCTTTCATCCTCTCGACACAGAGGATAATAACGGCGACAGAAAGAGAGAGAGAAAGAGAGGCAGGGAAAGCGAGATAGGGATAACGATGAACGCGTGATGGTGTTGCACCATCAACGATGCAGTCACATAGTTGCATCCACAGGCGCGCATCGAGATACTTCGCCTCGATGCCGCTGAACTTTCATAACTGTCACGGACGTGCAATTATACGCTACGGTCGCTGCGATCTCCCGTATCGTTTGCAAAATTAATATCAATGAGAATCCGCGAGGATTTTCGCTCTAAACCAACCCACGCGAAAATAAACGATTCGAGCTTTCCGGACCGCCGGTATTTTATCAGGGCGTTTAACGACGTTGCGGACTTGTGGATGTACTTAAAACTTTGTTTCCGCTCGTGCTCCCGCTTGCACGATTATCGTACCGATACGGATTTATTTTAATATAAATACCCGAATGATATTGCGGTTGTTTTTCACATAACCATCCAGAAAATTACTGTAGATCTAACTAAGAAGCGACGATTATGTATATCTTTTCATCCGATAACATAATTGAACGGTTTTTCGCAAAAACCAAACAATTCTGAAATGTTAAATTTTCATGTAACAAAAAAATGTTATCTTCAAACCGTTTGTTATGTATATAAATATGGTAATTTTTCTCCAGATATAGGAATAGGTATAAGAATAAAGTTTTAAGTTTTGATTATCTAATATTTTGAGGATCGTAGAATTTAAAAAGAAAAATAAAAAATTTCTAGATTTTTTTTTATTCTTGTGGAAAATTTTCACTATCTATTTACTTCATAATACACGATAAAGAACATTATGTACATATTTGTGTTGGAAACTCACGTTTCTGTTAACTGTTTGTGTTGAATTTTTTAACATATTCGAATGTTAATTTAACATAACGTGATTATGTCATTTAAATTTTTGTGTTAAATTGATATTCAACGGTTTTTAGTGTCAAAATGACACAATTTATGAGTGAGCGAAAAATAATGTATTTTAAAGCGTAAATTCTAAGATGAATAAATGAAATACGTGTTAATTTAACATGTCATAAATGTTAATTATACTAAAAAAATATACTTCCACAGTTTGTTTACAACTTTTTCTTGATAATTTTTTTACACGATATTTGTGTTGTTTTCTGGTAATTATCTTATGTTAAATAAACACAAAAATTGGAGTGGACGGTTTGGGAAATATAAAATGTGTTATATTCGACATAAATTTTTCAATAGTAAGTATATGTATGTTACACGTATTTTTTATAATATTAATAATAATTAATAATCCATACAGCACATATAACTCATACCTTCAATGGATGCCCCAAAGACGTTCTAAAGACGTCCACAGGACGTGAAAGGTTTAAGATGTCTCAAGGATGTCTTTCGGATAAAATGTATTGTATGGGAATAATAAAACGAAGAAAGTAATATTATTTAAAGTACAAAGCAATTATTGTTTTACTTATTACTTATTACTTACAAAATTTTACAAATTGCTTCTAACAAAAACATCCTTTGCAAGTGTTAAACTCGATCTTATATTTCCCATTCGATTCTTGTCAGAATAAAATCACTATGTAGCGATATTGATAGAGAACGATTTGATGCCGCAACCCAGATTTTTTTTTAACTTTATTCAGGTTTCGTGGGAAAACTTTGTGGGAGCCCTTCAATTTATCGACACATTTTGCGCATATGTCGAATCTTTTAAACACTATTCGATTTTAGAAGATAGAAGAGAAATTTCGTGCGTAATGTCAAATAAATGAACCACGAAGCTATACAGTGATCCTGCGAAATACACCATGATACGTAAAAATTCTTGATCCCCATTCTTGTCATATCGATAAGCAACGACTGTCGTTGTTGCTGCGGCTGCAGAGTAAAACGAAGATAGAGAAGTGAATCGGGCGTCGACCGCGGCGGCTAAATAAATTTGCCGATGCCCCAAACTGAAATCCACTCAAGATCTTAGATTAGAGTCGGTCCGAAGTAAAGCCCGGATCCAGACAACTCGTACAACTCATCGGGAGTCGGTCTGATCCAATTTATTAGTAGCATCCCGGGTACGGAAGAGAGAGAAAGAGAGGGGGAAGGAGACCTGGCGACTTTCGCGCTTGGGACTCACGTGCATCTCCTTTTGACACACTTTGTCGTTTTGTTGACGTTTGTTTGCTTACAGAAAACGCGAAGGGAGACGATCAATTTTTCGCGCATGGAAAGCATGGAACATCATTCATTCACATATGTTCCTACGAGAAGTAGCATATCTTTTCTGAATAAGATTTAATATACTTTTAATGTAGAAGCCATTGCCTAAAGCTACTGAATTTCATTCTCCTATGCGCACAGCTTTTACCTTTTTATTTGTTTAAATCTTTTATATAATATTATATCATGTGTGGATATTGGTACATGTAATCAGATTTTTATAAATCAATTTAAAATAAGTTAAAATATAAAAGAAATTTAATATGAAATGATAATTCAGAAAATAAAAAATATTCTTTGTGCAGTCTTGTTTTCGAAAAAAGATCGAATCAAATTGATGTAAAATAGCTGCAATTTCACTTACTCTATCTTTGACTTAATATTTTCACACACATAGACATGCTGACGAGCGACTCAAAATTATTCCAAACGCGCGTCACGATCCTCCATGATCGTCCGTATCCGTTGCACTTGCGAACTGCAGGTTTCGAAGGCAGCCCAAGAGAAGGGAGGGACAGTGGTGGACCCGTGGAAAAACTACACGTAGAGAACGAAATCTAATGACACCCCGACCGTTACTAATGACGCTAACGAGGTAGTTAGATGTTAGAGCGAATGTCGGTGGGTCTGGACCGAGGGAACCCACTTACCGACTTATCACGTAGTTACCTAATCTGTTTATCCCAACGGGGGGTAGAGGAGGCCAAAAGTGAGAGAGAGTGAGAGAGCGAGCGAGAGAGAGAGAGAGAGAGAGAGAGAGAGAGAGAGAGAGAGAGAGAGAGAATGGGAGAAAGAGCCAGCGGGGACCGGGGGAGACAGACGAGGGGAGCAATCGGGAGCTGGAAGGGTGCCCGGACGTCCCTGAGGACACCATTCCCCTAGACCCCTTCCCCGTCTACCTCGACTCCCTGTTCGATCATCTACCAGAGTGTGAGAGAGAAACAGAGACAAAGATCGCTGCCTCTCACATTTATGAGCCTCAATAGGTGTTTTAAAGAGAATATAAAGAATAGCGGGAGGCTGCATTTCTCACGTTCTTGGATTTATTCGTGGTGATTTGGATGAAGGGTGGAATAAATAGCAATAATTTTTGGGATATTAGGTACGTATAAATTGGAATTGATAGAACAACGGGATTTGGCAAACTACATAGTAAAAAAAATTGTGTATTTGTGTTGGAAACGTTTCACTCACGTTCTGTGTTAACAGTTTGTGTTGAATTTTTTAACATATTCGAGTGTTAATTTAACATAAAGTAATCATATTATTGTATTGTGTATGTGAACAAATTATATAAAAAGATTGTGATTTCAAACGTAAATTCTAAGATGATTGAATAAAATGTGTGTTGATTTAACATATTATAAATGTTAATTTTACAGAAAAAAATATGCTTCCACGGTTTGTTTACAAACTGCAAGTATTAATTTTTTTTTTGTGTTTATCTACTTAAATAATATTTGTATTACCTTCTAACATATCCATTGTGTTAAATTAACACATAAATTTGAGTGGATCATTTGGGACATGTGAAATGTGTTAAATTTAACACATTTTTAATAAATTTTTCAACGGTGTACAAATATGGACGTATTGAGAATGTGTTGTTAAGGAAGGAGAGATTTTTAGCAATTCTATTACATAAACAGGATTTTTTGCACAATTAATTGCTTTTTTAGATATTTTAGAACTTAGAATGTCTCTTTCTCGATTTTGATTTTGAATAAAAAAAATATTAGGTTTTGTTAATCATAACTTTTACTTTTTTTTTCTGACGAAAATATAGATAAAATACAGTTATTAAAAACATTATATATAGTTGTGGAGTATTCATTAATATCTCACTTTATATTTTGATTTTCAGTTCGTAACATTTTCTTTATATATCGGACATTATTCTATCAAAGTTTTAACTATTAGAAGTTTGGAAATTATATAATCACAATAAGGGAAAAATAACTTTTTTGACAACAAAAAATTTACTCAGTCAAAAATAAAATTATTTTTTATTACTTCTTTTATAATTTACTTTTTTATCATTAAAAATAAAAAAGTAAATAAAAAAATTGTAAGGGGTTAAACTTCTTCCTGGATACGTCCATGACTACGGATATCACTAAATCCGATTAACGATGTCATATAAACGTAGTCTTTATCAAATTTTATCAGATGTCGAGAGAATAATATATTTATAAAAAATCTTTTCTCTTAATACATATTATATTATAATAATTCAAATCTTTGATAATATAAAGCACTATTTTTATCGAAATTACAAATCGTTCCGTATATTTTAAAAATCGCTGATATTGTATTCGTCGTACTTAAAAACGATAGGGGAAATTTTCGAAATGAAATGAATATTTTTCTTTCCGGAAAAATCTAGTATTCACAAAATGAAATCTTGCGGTCCTAATTCGATAACGATAAATGGCCGTAACCGTTAACCGGATACGTTAGAGTGATTGTCGTGGCTTGACAGATCACGCCAGGCTGAAATTCGTCATCTGGAATGGGACGCGACTTGGAAAACGATCAGTGAATAGGCAAACTGCCGTCAAAGTTCTGGGTAGCGACTCGGCTCGACTGCCGGCGGGACGCGGTTTAACTGGAAGTTGGCTCGAAGTGCAAATTAAGTTTAGCGGCCGTCCAGTTTGTAGCGTCCACTTTGCGTAACTCGGTCTAGTCGGTAATGTAACTTCATCGATGTGTTCCGCTAGAGCAAGTGCCAGTACAATCAGTCTGTCCCCCTTATCTTCCCCCCAAGTCTCTTTCCCTGTTGTATACCCGGTGTCTCTTTCTGTTTATCGATTGCACTTGTTTTCTTCATCATATTTCTCTTCTTTTTCAGGATTTTTTCTTTTTTCACGTCGTTGTTTCTTTTGTCAAAATTATCTCGTAGGATTTCTCTCAGGAAATAATTATATTTATGTATATACATCTTAGGAACTCACAATTTGAAATTTGAAGTTGAAAAAATAACAAGATTGGTTATATGTATATATCCATAATTTATGTATATATCGCTTATTTGCTACAACAATGACATAACTCAAAAAGCAAAAAGTTTTCTAGAAAATGAGTTTCAATGTTGTGAAAAATATTATACTATTAATTTTGAAATCTAATTTTGATATAATAATTGATTATAGTGAAATTAATGTGTACGTTCTTTCGAAACCTATTTTTTCTCTCTTATTTTTTTATGATTCCGTTCTTTTTCTGCAAGCAATTCCAAATGACAACTTTTGAGTTATATCGTTGTTATAACAAAGGAGCGATAACCTCAGGGATATAATATTTTCTTTCGTTTACTATATCTATTCCTTTATTAAAGTTTTCCAGAACTTTTCGGTGCGAAAGATTGCTGTTCAAAACTGTCCCCTTTTCCCTTTTTCTCATCGAGAATAGCCACGCATAAATCTAAAAATTTCCTCGTAACATTTTATAGCGATTTAGCATGGCACGCCTTTCGCCAATCGAGACGCGATCGAAAGTCGACGAGGGGGCGAAAAAGGAAGAGAAAAATATATATATATATATATATATCGTGTGCGTGCGCGCCGGCAGTGGGAAGAATCAAATTTTTACTTACAGGGGTGAGTCGGGGCGAAGGGATACTCCAGGG